TCCTTTCCGGACGTCCGTGGGTCAATCCAGTACACGGCCCTGTCATGTCCCCGATCCTGAGTATGATCGTCTGGACGGACCATGGTGCGAGGAGACGCATCAGTTAGGTCACGAGACCTAAAGGCAAGTATACCATGGTCTAGCAACGTGGTTAAGGAGCTGAGACTTAGCCATATAAAGAAGAAAAAGGAGTTAAAGGAGCTACACGAGTAAAGGGGTAGCTCAACGGGTTTTGGGTCAGCTCAACCTAGCTCGGGGAAACTCGGGTGAGCTCAGCCCAGCTCGGTCTAGCTTCACACTCACTGGTCAGCTCACACCAGCTGAACCGTCATGTTCTTATTCCTGGAACTTGACACAAGTCTTAGACATTTAATAGAAACGAGACTGGTTTGGTTCAGATCATGGGAATTGATCGTGAACAAGCTCGATGAAGTAAATGACCAAAATGGATCATGGGAAAACTAAGTCTAGGTCGGGAGTAGACCAAGGGACATAGAAGGATTGAATAAGATGAAGATATCAAGTTGTACGAAGTGTATCACAGCTGGGTGATGCGAGCAAGAAGCTCAACCAGGTGGACAGAGCTTAGTTGGAGCTCAAGTAGAGTGTGCCATCTCCCTGAGCTGGATGGACTAGCTCACTCAGCTGGATCAGCTGGGGATCGGCTGGACTTAGTGTTCAAGTCTTAGGCAATTGGGCCAGGACTGGACAGTGACCAGGCTAGATGGATGACCCATATGTACCAATGGGCCAATGGACTCTTGTGGTTGGGCCATGGGCCTGGGAAATCACTTTGGACTTGTTTTGGACATGTCCAAGAGTGGTTTGAAAGGCCCAGTACGCCTGGCCATGGGCTTGAATGATGTTTTTTTTTAATTTAATTATATTTTAGTAATTATTTTTAAATTTAAATAAAAATATTAATAAAATATTACTTACTATGAAAAAAATAACAAAAAATAATTTATTTTAATAAAATTATTTTAACAGAAAATAATGGTAACTAAACAAATGAACCATATTCCATAATTAATGCAGTTAAAACACATAATTAATAATAAAAATTTCTAAACCAAATAAAAATTTAGTTAATTTCAAAATATTCTGTAAAGAATATTTATTTAAATTAGTAAATAAAACCTTATAAGAACTATAGGTCTATTTTAAAGTATTTGTAATTTTATATTTACAGGAAAATACACATATTATTAAAAAAAATGTTAAGAATGTATATATATATATATATATATATTTATAAAACGGTAATATAAATAGCTGATAAAAATAAAAATAATTAAATGATAAATGAATAAAATTTATGTAATTCATTTATTTTAACATAAAAGTTAGTAGCTGGAGTTTTAAATAAAAAAGGGTTACTATGTCATAAAAATATAATAATGTCAGAATTATAACTAGAAAAATGGGTTAACTTTATCTAAAATTTATAATACAAAATATTAAGTTCAACATTATAGTGTATAAAACATTTTATATCAAGACATAGGGATCTAAAGCAAGGATATTCTAGTGTTTGATATTCTCGACAAAATATATTTTTTATAAGCTTTGGTATAAGCTATAACGTCGGAATTAATAATCTCTATTATAAAATTTATAGAAATTCAACCAAATTTGTTAATTATAATTATTAACTAGATTTTAATTCGAGCTTTCAAAAGACATGATTATTTTTGTAAACAAATTTATTAATCTATTTGTTTGTTCACTAACATGTTTAGTCACGGGTGTTAAATTTTACTTTGGCTCCAGTTTGCTTCTTTTTATTTAGTTTTTGGTTTAGTTCTCGTTCAGTTATAGTTTTCAGTTTCAGGATTCAAAAGATATAAGTATCATTTGGTTATTTATAAATTCAAGTTTGGTTTGGTTCGGATAACAATGTTAAGGACCTGCTAAAGATTCAAATTCAATTTGGTTTTGGTTTGGTTCCCATTTTTCGGATAATTTTGAATAATCCGGGTAAAGTCATACTTTAAAATTTTAAATAAAATATCAAGTAACTTTGATAAAATTAAATATTTTAGATAAAAAATATTTCTGTGATTTTTCTATAGAGAATTAGGATAAGTTAATATAATGGATAAAATTAATAGGTTAATCCGTCTTTCGGCTAATTCGCTCTATAAGTAGTATTTTTTTAGAATATTTGATACTTTTAAAACAAAATATAATTAATATTTTAGATATATAAACTGTATTTTGAATATATGAATTGCCAACCATTTTGTTCTTGATTTGGTTCCTGTTTTTCAGTTTAATATATGTAGGTGCCGTTCTGATATTTGTGAATATTGTTTCGATTTTAATTTCTTTTATGATTCATATCGTTTTTTATTCAGTTTAAGTTTGGTTTCGGTTCTCAGTTTCTATGCCGAGGCCTAAAATTATTTGAACATTCTATCTTGTACTTTTTGGGTAAAACTGGTATTGTAATTGATAAATAACTGATTCGCACTTATTTTTAATGATAAATTTTATAAATAAATATTTAAAATATAAATCAATACCATCAGTAGTGAAATATTTATAATATAAATCAATACCATCAATATTGTAATCGCAATCTACTTATTCTTAGATTTCCTTGATAATATATAATTTATTTTTAATATATTTCTATGTAAAATATATTTTTCTACACTGAAAATATTTAGTAAATAGTGAAAATTTAGAGGGATATTATAAAAGTTGTAATATATTTTTTAAGTTTCTATAATCTCAGTTAAAACAATATTCAACTTTTAGATATCTAAATCTAATTTTCTCGATTTATCTTGTTAATATTTCGAAATGAAAACAAATGCTTAAAGTTCGACACAAAATCTGTTATTGTCAATATTTTCAAAATCTAAATTGTCTCCCATTTATTTTTAAACTAAATTGAATATGTATAAATTATAAGTTTGAAAATCTTTCTTGTTTGTTAATGTAGATGGTTTATAAGAAAAAAATTGGAATTTTTTATTTTATTGAAATACGCAAAAGATAGTATAAAAGCAATATTTCATTCCTGTTTACGTAGTTCACTACTACACTGTAAAAATAAGAATTATAAATTATGATTCATAGTAAATGTCAAAGCCTGATAAAATGAAATTTATATCATATATAAAGTTACATGAATCCGTTTTCGGTTAGGGTGGTGATTAGTTTTTAATTGTGGAAGTGGGTCGGTCTAAGTTTTATTTGGAAAAAAAACATATTTAGGAGAGAAAAAAAAACGATGACCAAATTGGTTTTTTGACCCAAAGATTTGCCGACGTCGACCCACATAAATTTTGGAAAATACTACTCGCTAGTGAACCTAAGACTTCGCGGGTTCAGTTTTCGTGGATCGCCACACGTACGATTTTTAGGTAAGTTGTAAATATCCACGACCGAGAAAACCGGTGACATATAAATATTATAGGTTAATCTATTTTTCCGCCAGGAAATGGGATCATGTTTTGTTGATTATATTAAAAACTAAGATATAGGTATGGTTAATTGTTAATGTTGACACATAATAAAGACTAGTGGATAACAAAAAGTAACCTAATAGAAGAATAGTTGTTGTGCCTCAGTCTTCGTCGAGATGCATCCACCAAAACTGAAATGGATGGAAACTAATAACGGAGTTCGTAGCTGCGATGCAAGTTTTGTTGGTAAAAGGAAGGAAATCAGTAATAACATCAGCGAAGGTAATGTGTTATATTACAAGGCGTTATATCCTTACTCTACAATAATCTCGTTGAGTTTTATGTATTTTGTTTGTAGGTTGCTCTAATTCTTACATTGTCGTCTTATCTGGTTGGTGAATAATGTATGATGCTAGTGTGTGAGATTTCAAGATAGATAATGATATAGAATGGGTTGAGCAGTGGATAGCTCGTGAATTAGAGGCGTTGACGGTTTGAAAGATAGGATTCTTGAATAATGTGACCTGTTGGGAAGAAAAATCTCGGTTGAAATGTGCTATTGGCTTAATGATGACAAAAGCGATATGGTTGGTAAGGGGGCACCATTGAAATTAGCAAGTGACATTAATTATAAATCTTTAGGACTCTTCAGAGGGCAGAAAAATTTGTTTATGTATTCGTTACATTTAGGGAAGTAGTTGGAAGATAAATTATATTCCTAAAGTCTGAACGTGTTATTGCAATGCATTTGAGTTTATCAGACGGAATTGCAAATAAAAACTTATTATTATTATTGCGGCACGTAAAGCAGTTGAAGCCTTTTATGGAGATGTTTTAGGGACAACTAGTTCTGTGTATAAAAAGGACAAAGAACAATAAAAAAAAATGGGAGATCTCTTGAGGTGGGTTGTGGTGTTTTTCCCGGTGTAGCTAAGGCATTTGGATGTAATCCAAAGTATCCTGTCACTTGTGTGACACAAAAGGCAGTTAAACAATGTGAATTTGATCCAAGGTGCGGCACGGTTATTGTTTAACCTTTATCTGTAAAATGTATCCTTCGTCGTACGTATATCCAGATTTTAAAGTAAGTTATGGTGTTTAACGGATTTGTTGGAATTGTAACAATTATTATAAATTGTACCTTTTCAAGACGTGATTACCTATTATACTTGTTAGAAGTAATATCTTCAAACGACCATTTGACATTTAGCAAGCTACTATGTTATTTTAGAAATATAGAAATGTACCTCTTAACCAAAACAAGTCACGATCGTTTACTGAAAAAGTTCATGGTTAGAACCAGTGTCTCTTAACAAAAAGTGGTAACAATGTTAAAAAGAAAATCTTTAAAAAGGGAGTAATTCAAAATATGTACAATTACCTTTTAATTCATTCTTCAAGTTAGGAAATGATAATTATAACCCACACGCATATCAAAACTTTATATCCATTGACATATTACATATATAAGCAGGTGAAGTTGACAAAACAGGTGAGTAACATAGAAGCACAGATTATTGATTGACATACGTATAGTTAACCGCAGTAGATATAAAACACACGCAAAAACTAAGAAAGTAATCAAGCCTCCTTTGCATATGCCATAGTCCACATTCTCGCAATCTTTTCATAGGCTCTTCGGTCTTGCTGGTACAATTTAACGGCAGGATTGCCAGGAATAAATGGTTCAGCAGGGGTTGAGAGGACAGAGCATATGGAAAGTAAAAGCAAATCGATTCTCAAACTTGGTGACCATAGCGCCCCCAATATATCTATACTTATTTCTCCATCCTCATTGATGTTAGGATGGAATATCTGCAAAAGTGAAATAAAATATAAAATTTTAAACCGGGTAGTTTAAAATCAGACCGGATATTAAACATAATCTAAAGTTCGAAGTACTAGTTAAACCGAGATTTTCATACCTTGGTCTGAAACATGATCTTGGGTGGTTTGAATGGATATTTGGTTGGGATGTGAATAGAGACGGCGAAGACACCGTTTTCGAACGGGCAGTTCGCTGGTCCGATGAGGTTTGCTTCCCACCGGAAAAGATTTTCAGGCGAAGTTATTCTTGAGCTGACAAGCTTCATAAGGATTTGATCTTGCATTTTAGATTCTTTCAAGAGCCTCTTCTCCCCAAACTGAGAAACCGATGATCTTATAGACTTAGGTTTATTAGATGCGGCGGCAGGCGATGCATTTCGCCGGAAACTAAAGTTTTGGAATAATTTTGCCATCTTGTGTTTCTCTCTCTGTGTTAGTGTTTCAAGTGTGGTTACTGTCTCTCTTACTTTCAGCATCTATATATATAATACGCAACAGTTGAAAAGGATAATATAATACTGATTGCTGAATATATAAACTACACGCTGGATTCAACATTTATTTTCTTGGTTAAAGCACATTTGAGATTTCAATGGAAAGCTGATAGCCTGATAAGGTGGTCGTTTTTTTAACCATTAGCACACGATTATTTATTTTAAAAAGATAAATTATTTTAATATGCAAGTAAAAATATTAATTCCACAAATATGAATTGTTCTAAATTACATTAAAGTTTCTGAATATATAAACTACACGGTGGATTCAACATTAATTTTATTTATCTAAAAATTAAAATCAATTTATGATATACTATTTTATAAATCTCATTATTGTATTTTTTTAAAAATATAATATATAGGGTTTAAATTATTTTTCCTTGAATTAAATTTTAATTAATTCACATGTATACATATATTATTTTGAATTTAATTTTTATATTAGTTTTTACACTCTATAAGGAAATGTTATAAAAGTAGCTTAAAATATTAGTTAAGCACGACTACGATGATTATAAAATTATTATCTGATACTTCGGCTACAGACATTATTGAGTTTATTCACATATTTGAATTTATTCACATGTATACATATATTNTAGTTTTTACACTCTATAAGGAAATGTTATAAAAGTAGCTTAAAATATTAGTTAAGCACGACTACGATGATTATAAAATTATTATCTGATACTTCGGCTACAGACATTATTGAGTTTATTCACATATTTGAATTTATTCACATGTATACATATATTATTTTGAATTTAATTTTTATATTAGTTTTTACACTCTATAAGGCAATGTTATAAAAGTAGCTTACAATTTAAGTTATGCAAGACTACGATGATTATAAAATTATTATCTTTATATATATAAGTAATCATTTTTATCTTCATTTGATATATTTTTTTTTGAAATATACAGAGATATGCTGGCTTCACAGAAGTGATCCAGACTAGTCACGTGTTGCCACGTGTCGATCTTCTGTCTCTGATGATGCCAATATGTTAATTCTCCAGTGGCCGGAATTCGAACTCAGGTGATGGTACTCACAATTGTAAGCCCTTTACTACTTAAGATAGAAGCCCGATTAAAATATTTGAAGAAGTTAGGAAAAAGCCCCCGACGAGGATCGTACTCGCGGCCTTCAACTTGATATTTAATATACAAACATTTTAGATTATCAAAACCATTAGAGTTTATTAATCTATATTTCTATACTGATTTGATTAGCTAGATCCGCATTATCTTGTCCATTTATTATTTGAGATCTTAGTTTTGATAAAATTATCTTGGCCTTTTTTTTAAAGTTTATTTTTTGGTTATCTATACAAACTTTGTAATCGTTAATTTTTTGACTCGTGTTTAAAAATCGCGGATACCTTTGTAATTGTTTTATTTACAGATGAATCGATAAATTTTTTGCTTTGATGATATAAAATGTTATTATCTAATATAACCTTTTAAAATTATTGCAGATTTTAATTTATTGTTATCATCAATATCTAAGTAAATGTATTGTATGTAATTATGTAATTTTATTTTGGGAAAATACTATCAACAAACTACGCATGTTGCTAGGAAGCAGATCAAACTCGGCCCACCCAACTCGTCTGATCCGCAAAAAAAAATATTTTATCCGCATCCGTTTCACTTAATTTTGAGGGTAATCCACGAGACCCGTGGATAATTATTAAATAATAAACATCATTATTTTTAAAAAATTTTCTAAAAGATAATATTATATAGTATATTTTAATACTTTTTTAAAAAAATATTTTTAAGGAATTTTAATATATTTTGAGAAAATAAACTTAAAAATAAAATTTTATTTTTGCGGATTACCGGTATCCGCAATTAAAATTAGAACAATCCCCACCCGTCCCGCATAAATACACTTGACCCGCACCTGCACCCGCAACTTAGTTTTTTGAAATCGATCAATCCGTTCGTGACGGGTCAAACGGGGGGACTCGCGACTAATATTCCGAGTTCTAACTACACCACTTAAGGCTGATGAATTTATTTTTGAAAGAAACTTCAGGTAAATTTGATCCCTTAATGAAACTCATTGGTATATAGTTTTTAGGTCCAGAAAAAAAAAAAGATCAAATTCTCATTAATGAAAAATTAATTTTATTCACATAAATAAGAGTTAATTGGAAAACATAAAAATTCATTAAACAGAATGTTTGTGTTTTAATAGTATTGATTAACACAACACCTCTTCTGAATTTTTTTTAAAAGTTGTAGTAATGAATGATTGATTTAACAACCACACGAATTAACGAAAAAAAAAATCAATTTTTTGATCGAATGAAGTTCTTGCTGGTTTACATACACAACTTGAATGACGTTTCAGTGATGACATAGCATTGTGCTTCTTTTTCCATCTCAGGCATTGCGGATTTAAGTTACAAAAAGCAAGTGCGAATCACCAACACGTACGTTTCCACCTAAAAGTAAGCAAAAAACAATATCTATCTTTTTTTTTGGTAAAATGTTAAAAATAATAATATCTAGCTTATTAAAACAGAAATATTAGATTGGACCTATCATTTATTTTGTAAATTTTTAAATTAAATATATTTTTATACTTTATAATTAAATATATACATTAAATCACTAATATTCATTTTTTTATATTAATATCCATGTTTCCAAACAATATATTTATTTCTTTACATTACTATCTATGTTTCCAAACAACACTATCATTAATTTTATGTCCAAACAATACAAAATATTAGACCTCACCTTTTCTAATACTTTCACAATTTTCTTTCAAATTATTTAGATGAACTAAAAAAAATCAAATAATATATAAAACAATGAAAATAAACTTATTTTTACAGGTTTAAATATTAAATATCAGTTAATCGGTTAGTCTCGGGTTTTAGTGATTTTTTAAATATAGATATTTTTAAAAATAAAAATTGAATAATCTGATCACCGGTTTAACCGCGATCCGGGTTGAATTTAAAAAAAACCTGCTTTAAATGAAAAAATAATTTTAAATACATAAATTCTTTCAAATTACCAAATATTTTCATCATAAAATATACGTGCTTGCAAAGTCAAGACCAAAGTTAACTTTGAATTTGACCTAACCAATAAAATTAAGGTTAATGCCAAAAATTCTAGAAATTTTTATATCATTTAAAAATTTTGGATAATTATTAACATTAAAAGTAATTAAACTCTCAACTTATTTTTTGAATGCAAATAGTTAATTTTGAATTTGATTTTGATTTTGCACTTCGAACAAATGTATTGAATTAGTGTTTTCAGTGTATGATTACATCTACATAAATACACTATTTTACGTTATTAATACAAAAGACCGTTTTGATATTGTTCTTTAAACATAAATTAGAATTGGAAAAACTCAAAAGTATATAAATCTAAATTATATAGAATACATCCGAAAAAATAAAACCTGTGCATCCGCACGGATCATGATCTAGTTACAGTTAAAATATGTGAGTATATTAAGTTATAAAAAAAGAGGCATTTGCATACAAATTCTAGTAGGACTAGATAATTTGCAAGATGGAAAAAAAGAAGTGGAACCCAGTATCAGCAGGTGCAAAAAGACACTGTTAACTCTATCACTTGTATCTTTCTCTTTCTTTCGTTTTTTAACTAAAACACAATCATATTAATTATTTCCTGATAAAAGGATGTTGACGAAAACATACAGTACCGGAGAAAATTCAGAATCCTAAACAAACGGATTCATCAAGAACCAAGAAGCATAAACACAACAAGAGCTAGACCAAGATCTAAATAAAGAAGATTAAAGCAAAGGAAAGGAGACAAAAGGAGCTATTGCCCAGCCCTGATGAACACGAAGGGATATTGGATCTGATGACATCGATCCATCAACGATTAGTCTTCACCAAAAAAACCATCCTCGAAGCTGCTCCGCGGCTCCAATCGCTGAAATCTACAATAGATCCGACTCTCAAACACACATCCTACAACACCGCACACAAAGCCTAAAATCTACCGGCCAAGAAGAGCTTCAGCATCTAAGAGGGAGATGTCCCGGATAACCGCCATCCCCAAGACAAGCTCGTCAACACCAGAATCTTTACAGCGACGGCGCAACAAGAAATTGTAGTCCCGATTACTAACTAGCAAAACTCCGCAAAGATAATATAATAATTAGCCAGGTAACATAAGTTTTTAATGTTTACATATTTGTTAGTTTAACCGGCTAACATTCGTTAGCAATAGTTATTTTAGCCGGTTAACAAATATATGTTTATGTTTATGTTTATCCATAAATTAGCATGGCTACATGGTCGGATAAAATAAATATTGTATGAATAATAATATTTATTGACTAGTACGTTTTGTAATTATTTTGCTAAATGTTGTTTGATGCCAGCTAATGGGAAAAGGTACATGAGTTATAGAAGTTTAGTTTGGTGACAGGAATAATGAAAAATTCTGCACTGAGTCTCTTCATTGGAATGCAAATTATCCAAACTTAAATAATCAATTATTTTTGTAATATTGCATGTATCTGTTTATGTATTTGTAGCAGGCTAACTCAAATAGAAATTGAGATGAAACTTAATAGCTGATTATATTAAGTTGTGTCCAGATAGTTTAACTGCATTTCTAATATTATGGTCGCATGATGCATAGACAATTTATAGGCTAATATGTAAGTTAGTCGGGTTATTCATAGACTTATCGAGATATTATATTTGTAACTTGCTAACAATTTTATACATCATGTCTAATAAAATATGTATCCATCTATTATATTTGGTGCTTATATAGTTTGCTAAAAAAATATGTAACCGTCTAATAAAGAATATGTAGTCGTTTAATAATACATGTAACTATCGACTGATCCTCTTGGCTAGATCGCATGATTGAAATACGTGGGATTGATTCGC